CTAACTGTAGGCTAAGGTTGCCCAAGGCTGCACCCAACCGAACACAGTCAACTAGGACCATTTTCTTCTTTAGCTCCATGACACAAAAACAAAGTCCTAAGAATGTTTCTGTAGGAACAGAGCATATGCAGAGGTTGTAACCAGTTACAGGGTTTGTATATTCATGTGATGAGACTGTATTCAAAAACTGTGCATATAGCCAGCTGAAATGTAAGTATACTGTAAAAAGATCCTCACTATAAGCTAGATAATTAAATAATGTAAGATCACAAATGGAGTCAGATAATTAAGTACACCCTGCAGTACAATTGCCAGAGGTGAGTGCATACTCCTGGAGACACACCATCTGGTAAATGGTTCCTAAGTAAAATGTCAAACCATTCACAGCTTACAGAACATGGGTTACCCTGTGGTCCCTTCCTACACCGGTAAGAGAACAAAAAAAAGTCCTCTCAGCATCTTAAATATTCTGGACTGCAGCTTAATTTTTTTTCCTCTAATTAAATGGATTTAATCAGAGGTAATAGCTATGATAGATCAAAACCAAACAGTCAAATGCAAGAATTGCTGTGCACTGTAAGTCCAGAATTTCTGGCTCTCATGGCAGAGCAATTAAATTTCTGTCATCTTTCTGTAGCAATGTGACTGCTGTAAGCAAGTTATAAATTTCAGGCTCATTTTTCTGAGTTGTTCCACACATTGAAGATTATACATTCTTACTACAGCTCCTACAAATATGATGAGCTTTCTCAATATTCTGAAACCTGCTCTTAGGGAAGTTTCTGCTTTCTTAGCAGCAGTATTTATGAGATTTTAATTCTCACAACAAAACTAATTTCATGAGGTACCTTGCCAAAAGCAGCAACCTTGCTTGTTCAGAAGTACAGAAAAACCTTGAACCAGGTCTGTGCTGTCTGAGACTATCCAGGCCTCCTATTAAGTCCTCTAAATAGGAATGAAAACACCTTATTCTCTCAATCTCATCCTTAAACATTTTGCATTTATCTAAGGCCTGTCCTACTTTTCTTTTGCAATTCCTAGAGACTTAGAAATAAGCTTGATGAGAAAACTAAACTCAGTTCACAGGTTTACAACCAAGCTTGTTTGTGTTCTGAGAAGGAAAAGGGTGATGTCCTCATCAGAAAAGAAAGTGGTTAAGAGGCAGTTGAGAAATGTGAGACACATTTTACAGTTGTTTGGACTTCATCACAGTTCTTTCAGCATCATTACTGATCAGTGTATTTTTTTTTTTTTCCAAGGCTTAACAGGAACAAATTACTCCTAAGGCACTTAAATGCATCATCTCAAAAGCTGAGGACTGAGAAAGCAAGTGAAAGAAGTACACGCTCATTTCTGCCACCTCCTAGCTCTCAGAAGTGGGATTGTATCACTAGCATCCACCAACTCTCACTGTTATCCCACTCAACAAACACAAATTCTTTTCAAAGAGAAACAAAGGGCTAAACTGAGGTGGAAGGGGAAGCACCGCTGTATTTCCTTAAATACCGATCCAAGTGCAGGTCCTGCATGCATGCAATACAGGCTGCACAGAACCTACAGCCTAAATTAAGTGATTGATCTATCTCTGCTAGAAGAAAAGACTTGTTTCTCATCTGCTTTGCTATGATGTTAAAGATGAGAAAAGTAATCACAATGGCAACCTCAGAAAGCAGAATGGCATATTATTGTAAACAGAGCAAAAAGGTTTAGATTTTGTTCACAGTCCAAAAAATTATAGAAAGTCTATAAAACCTAGGAGGAAAAAAAAAGAAAACCATGTCCTGTTATTTTATCAAGTGAAAGATAATAATTTCAGATTTCCAGACTTCTGTTTATTCTGTAGAACGATGAATGTGTATAATCTCAGTTACAAATGTAATCAGACCCCATTTTGATTTTCACAGAATCATAGAATATCCTGAGCTCAAAGAAGCCCCAAGAAAAACACCATGTGCCTGAGAGCGTTGTCCAAACCTTCATAAGCTCTGTCAGGCTTGGTGCTGTGACCACTTCCCTGTGGAGCCTGTTCCACTGCAATTAGATAACTGAACCTAATGAAATCTGTAGAATGGATTTACAGAAAAAAAATTGGATAACTATCAAGAGACGACACTTGGCAAGAATAATTTATTTATCCTAATGATTTTCAAGCATAAATGGTTACAACATGTGAAAAGACACAATAATAAATATCTTATACAGTAATGTGCCTTACTGGATCCTCCCAATGATAAGGTACAGCAGCAACTCTTCAAGAGCACACTCCTACTCCTCACATTCCTCTGCAAAAATATTAGGCATAAATGATGTGACATTTCTGAAGCCCTCTGACTTTTTCTACCCTCTTTACTATAATTTATTTATTCATATGGCTCCTATGGTTGTAGAAAATTATCACAGTTGTTTAAAAAGGTCTGGACTAAGGAATTACTGCTATGAACATTGGGAAAGAATGTGAGAATGTGTGTCTATACAGATAGCTATCAAATTAATTACTGAAGAAAACAGATATTAAATAAACAGAGCACTTTTTGTGATCAGTATTTGTTTGCAAATCAAAATAATAATTAACAGCACAGATTATCAGGATTATTAATTTCTGCTTCCTCTACTGGTTGATTGACCCTATAACCATAAAAATAATGATAGTCTGTACAAAGTCTCCAGATTGTTATGTTGCAAATCAACAGTCCAAAAATCTGAAACCAAATTATATTATTAAAAACAAACCTTATACACAGCAGACATCAATTCTAAATGTTACCTAAACTCATCAAAATGTCATAATGGAAGGAAAAGGATCTTGCAGTTCAAAAATATGTTTCCTATTATACCAGTTTGTTTATGTGCCTAGTTCACAGACATTTCACTTTCCTCAGATCTAGAAATGCAATTAAACATTTCAAATTATGAATCATTGTAAGAAATCGCTGTTAATTGGATTTTTAATTGAAAGCTCCTTTTTTTTCTCTTCCTCATACAAAACATCAGCATCAAGCAAGCTGCAAAGCAGCCTAGATCACAGGGCAACTGGGGCTGGAAGGCAGGGTCTGGTAGCCCACCTGATCTACCCCCACACAAAACTAACTCCAGCATAATTCAAGGTCTGAGTATAAGCAAACAGCAAATCTGTAACAAAACCCAGCAAAACCCAAAAATCATGGGATCTGATCACAATTATTACTTAGTCACAAGCAGCATATTCTCTGGGTAATGCAAATGTCACTAGCAGCTTGAAACACCTAAAAGCACCGAAGAACACCTTATTTTTGAGCTTCAATGGACTTATACCTCTGTGACTCTGCATTTCATCTAAGTTGACAAAATACACTCTGTAAATATTTATTTAGTATATAGCAGATTTCTTTTTATGTCACAAAGCGCAAATAACATCCATATAGCCAAGGGTTTTCTGATTACATCTCCTGCAGAGATAATTTAAATACTAATTTTAAATATCAGCTTCTGAATAAGAGCCATTTCAATGTTCTTTAAGTGGTGTGTGTTGTAGTAAACATTAATGTATAATTAATTTTAATTAGTACAAGTGAAAATAACAGCCGATTTCATTTACCTTGCTTAGTATGTTTTTTTATTAATAGGCTTTAGTTTTGTAGATGAGCAAGAGAAACTTCTATTGTCATATATAGATTAGAAACGTAAACACTTAACACTTCCCACGACTGACTTCAGAACCGATTATTATCTCAAAAAGGCAAAGCACCAGCGTGACAAAGAGCACTACTGCCCCCTAATGAGCCAGTCCACAAAAGCTCCTCTGGAACAGCATTTTTTGTCTTTCCTAAAAAACCTTCATTATATCCATGAATTATGAAAAAAAAATAGTGAAAAATTAAGACAACCATTAAGAATATATAAATTAAATTCACACCACGTTTCTGCGCAAAAGGCACACACAAATGTCAGTCACAAATCTATTCTAGGCTTGTAATTATTACAAAGTAATTCCGATCTTGTACCCACAAAGAGAAAAAGAGAGGAAACAAACAAAAAAATCCACTTTCTGAATTCTTCTTGTACAGGAAACAGAAGAATTTTCTGTGTCATATAGAAGTGACATTTTTTACTTTTTTTAAGTTGTTTTGCCACAAGAACTGAATCTGCATGCAGTGCTGCCCAATGCAGCTTGGGCATAAAATTTGTCTGGTCCCTGTATCTGCATTTCAAAAACACAGATTGCAAATGCTGAAAAAATACAACTGCTGCAACTCTTGTTGAGAAGCACAAACATAAGCTGTGTATTCTCTTTTTATTTCACCATAAATTGGAAAGCAGAACTGAGTTCTGATTTCTCCCTCAAACTTCTTGTACTGAATTTTCCATAGATAAACATTCTGACAGACACCACAGAAGAAAAGACTCCAATTTCCATTAGCAAGATAAGGTTAAAAGCAAATCATGTGTCTAATTTGAAACACTCTGGCTAACAAAAGATATTAATTTTGAGAATAAAAAATTATTAACGAGTTAGGCACTGAAACACCCCCAGTTGCTGAAATTCTTGAATTTAAGACTCTACCTTAAAACCTCCAAATACTGGCTTTCTGTGGACTCACATACTATGTAATCATTCATATAAATACATCATTAGCACAGAAAGGTTGCAAGTGATGAGTAATGTCTTACATAACTACACACATGCTAGAAGGCTGCAAGCTGCTAGGTATTAAAAGCATAAGAAGTACCAATCACATGCTATGTGATAAAAATAAATTATCTACAAAGATATTGTAAAGATCTAAAATATTCCATGGGGTTTCTCCTGTTACAGCCCAAGTTGCTGGTAACATGGCTCTCAGTCTACTGAATATGTATGCTATTATATCAGTACTTCACAATTTCAAGTGTTTACTATAACCTCTATGAAAGGTAAAATGGAAAACACTGGTGAAACAACAAGAGTTCCAATAGACGCTTCAGAACCTTAACATAAGGCCATCACCACAACTCATTCCAACTCTGCCCAAGGTATTTCTTACCTTTGAATCTTCATTGCTCACTCCCAGCTCTAGCACAGCTTGAGGAGACTTCAGTTTTGCTTGCTTGGACTCCGCCATTTGAAGATTAAGCTGCCATCCAATTGTCTCAAGCTATAAAACACAAATTTAGACTACAATCAGATGACACAGAAACACTGAAGTCAATTTGCAATACTGCCAGTGGTCCGTGTCAGTGAACACAGTGGCTGGCTCTACAAATATTAAGTACTTATATACTATGAATATTCCACAGATTCTCCCGGACTCCAAGAGAGATTTGCTTCTCTCTTGTCGAATTTATCATTCTGTCTATGACCACTCGATATAAAGCACCTTCCTATGCCTCAGATCTGATGGAACTAATCCATAGAACAGAACTAAAAATCCAGAATAAAGCAGTTTCCTCCTCTTGTGGGAAGTTTATCAGCAAAGTTGCAGATTTAGTTTCATATTTATTTTACTTTCAGGAAAAAGAAAAAAAATTACCACTAAATGGTAAACTAGCTAAAAATGGTAATTTCTTAATCAACAGACCTACTCATGCGTGTTGTACCATATACAGATGTTAATGACAAAAATAATTCTGTTCTGGTTCTTGAATCACTACTGTTGAAATATCAAAAACCAGCTAAGCATGTGAGCAACAGAATTTTTAATAGAAAGTTATAAAAAAATACATTTTAAATTGCTTTCTAATCATCAAGAAAAAGTTATATTCAAACATCATCAAGGTATACCTCACACATAAATGGAGTACGCAAGAATGGAACTACAAGACTTTCACTAAATAATCTATGAGGTCTTCCTGAATAAAGAGAAGTGAAAATACAAATTCTTACCACCTGGAAAGATAATTTACACACAAGTTCTTTTTAACCTATGTCCCCTCTCCACGAGTAAATATTGTGGCTGACTTGGTAAAAGCAGAAGTGTGGCACATCTCAGTTAATCTCTTACCAGTCCAACAGCTCAGATAAAATCACTAACAGAATAAAGCCACGCCAGATGCTCTGTACTGTGAATGACAATACATGCCCTGCATCCTACAGTGACAATAATCTCTAGATGAAAAATAACAAAGGGTGGCAAAAACATCTTCCATGGGCACAGCTTCAAGACAGAACATTCAAAATTTATTGCAGCCACACCATTTACATTTACACGTTAATGTATGTTATATTACATTTCTTTGTATGCTACATCAATATATATGTACAACTATGTATATACGTATAACTATGTAACAAACACTGAAAGCCATATGACTAAGCAAAACAAAAAGAAAACTATGATGACATATTAACCACCACTGCCAGTCCAAGATGGTTAGGGAGTTTAGCCAAGGCCAAAGTTAAGAGAAAGAGACAGTGTCAGACTGACTTCGCATACAGAAACAGGACTGTAGGAAGAACTTCAGCAGGTCAGTCCCATTAGGGCTTCAACATGTGATTAAAATAAGTAAGTTTACATATTAATCAAATTGATGAAAGCATGCAGACAACACAAAGGGACTCGATAAAGATGCCTTAAGTCTGGTCTAGCTCATTTTGTGGTAGGTGTAGCTTTAGTAACAGTATGCCCACAGCCTATGAATTAAAGAGGCTTTAAAGAAAAGTTTTATAAATTATAAAGGCAGATGAATTTTTAATCATAATTCTGCTTTGATTTCCTCTAACTTGATTATATCTTGGTTGGTAAAAATACCAGCGCATTGCCCTTCCCACCCAAAAGTACAGAACACTCCAGAGTGGATTCTGTGTACATGCTCAAGTCAATCACACTAATGGACAACTCTGCTAAGCCTTTGTGCTGGCCTATATTTTCCAGATAACTACACCAGATACAGCTAGAAACATTTTTCTCTCCACAAACTTCAATAAAATTTAGTAAAGAAATTAACTTCGGTTCTTTCAGGAGCATAAAGATTCTACCTTACTCTTTCATTTTTTGGTCAAGAGAAAAAGTTTAGTTCAGTTAAGGAAATTGGTAACAGTCAACAGAAAAGGACCTAAATCCTGAGTTACAGTGGGAGCAGTCCAAAGCAGGCAACCAGGAACAGTACCACCTATTGATAGAACACCTGGGCACTAGGGTCAAACACAGGGACAGCAAGCAAGCCCTGGAACATGACAGCTCTTCGTGCTGCAGTATCTCAAGTTCCAGCCCTGTGCTCCTCTATTTAGAAAGGACTTCCTATCAGCTACTTCAACAGTTCATTACAGCAGTATGGAAAACCAAGCCTTAGACAGGCTAGCAGCTTATTCTGCATTATAAAACAATGCCACTAGAGAAAAAAAAAAATATTCTATGAAGTCTGACTTCTAAGACTTTTCTGAAGTTGTTGAATAGTGTATTCTATGTAGTATGAAGAACAAACCACCAAAAATAAAGAATAAAAATTTCTGTCTTCTTTTTCATTTTTAATACACATCTATCCCAGAATATCAAACAGGGCTCAGAACAAATACAATATACATGGCAGCACAGTGGTCTGAGTTTATAGCTGAACAGTAGCCATAAATCTTGTTCCATATTGTTTTACTTTAAAATTACTTGTTTTCCTGTACAATTCATGTCTCTTTTCTGTTTTAAACATAGTTGTATAAGAACAAGTTTTGATTAATAAATGACATACTGCCTAAGGTTTCAAAATGGTCTGACTATTTACTTGAAAGAAAAATGTCACACATATTTGGTTATGGTTATGTTTACTTCGAAGACATTCAACAGCCTGAAATGTCAATTAACCTTTTGAGAGTGGTGACATGTTTTTGCATGGCATTTGTGTCAAGGCACAGTATTTGTTAGCCACAAAGTGGTACACCTTTTAGGAACAATTTTTTTTCAAATATGAAGGGATTACAAAATTATTTTCTATAACAAGTCTTATATCAGAAGTGAAAACAGAATGATGGAAGAAACTATACGGTGCCAGAATCTGTGACATATTAACTGAAAAGCATTTACTGGGGAGGGGGAGAAGTATTTCTCCATAACTAACATGAAAACAAAGCCATGTTTTTAGCTACTGTAGACCTTTAGCTTCTTTGTACAATTTCTTATCAGCAGTTTAGAAATGTGCAGGCTACCTTGTCAGTGCAACAACAAGCACTGTAGAAAATGTACTATTTACTGCTGTAACTTCTCACTGGTATCTCTGGCACTTACTTAACCTCAGGGTTATGTTTAGAAAACATGAAACAACGGGTGCAAGCTGGAAAATAAGGAAAAAAAGAAACATAGATGCTAAATAAAACCATTAGTAAGCATGTATAAAAATGCTTCAGACCTGCTCCATGAAATTCCTGGCAAATGATTCAGGGCATCAGAGTTACAAGGCAGCTTTTGACAAACCCTGTAAATCCTCAGTTCTTGTGGCCATTTTGTTTCACTCACACTTCTGAAGAGCATGTCATGACACCCGGGACTAAGAAAGATGGAAGAACTAATGCACTTCCCCCTTCCAGCACTCACTCAGTACTAGCTGTAGAAGAGATAAGGCATTATACCTGCTAAACCAGCTCCATACCCACACACACAGTGCTTCTCAGTGGACACCCACAACTGTCCCAGGGCAGATCCACATCAGAAAGTAGTTAGTTGTCCTATTACAAGAGGATCTGACCCTTCAACTGTAGGTGAGCAGCACCTTTACAGGTACATAAATATATTATTTCTGGTCTGTCTATTAGGATCTCTGCGATAGCCACAGGCATTTTCCTCTAGTGTAAAACATGGGGTCTTCCAACTCATGTCCACTGTCCTGTCCTCCAGACTATTTTCCACACTAATGGTAGAATACAGTATTTTACGTAATAAGACAAGATCATCAGCAATCTAGCATAACTGTGGTAGAACACCTGGGATCAAAGTCAGTCTCTGCAAAAAGCCCATCAAGCATGATCCCCAATCAAACCAAGGATTTCACATACCCAAAATTAACATCCACAAAATCCACCACTTCTGTCATCATTTACAGCCCATTATGCTTTTACATATTCTCTTGTCTCTTGCTGGCATTTTTTAACACAGTTCCTTACTTTCACTTTTAATATGCCCATAAACTTTACCACAAATTAAACCCAAACTGAGAAGAAATTCCAGGAATCTGATAAAAATAACAAGTTTCTATATTAGTCGTCCAAAAAAAACCCACCCTTCTCTCAACTACATAAATATATTTATTGTATACTCATTAATGAGAAATCCAGTAAATGTTCTTTGGCAAAGAAATTCAGCCTAACACAGTCATCTGAACTATATAAGAACCAGGCTATCAGATGCATAAACAAAGGCCTACAACTGAGAAGGAAAGCAGACTGAATGTCCAGAACAGTTGTCCTTGAAGTTGGAAGGACTAAGAACAGAGCCAAAGTGACTGAGAAGCTCACAATGAAAAAGATGTTGGTAAGAACCTAATTTGAGGAAAGAAAATAAGTGGAAATATTATGAAATAGGGAAAACTACGAGTGGGAACCGAATTTCAGAATATATGCAAGCATCTAAAATGTCTTCCCTAATACTCCCAACTTCAGCCATTCAAAACATCTGGAGCAGTGTGCAATACTTTTAAAGGAGGACGAAAAAAAAAAAGGAGTTAAATGCTCAGTCAGTATCAGAGCAGGGAAAAGGGATACTTTTTGTTTTGGTCTTATTTGATATACTGAGATCACACCTCCTGTCTTCTGCTATCCCCATGAAAACTGGAAGTTTGTTTTAACTTTAAGTAGAAAACGAGTTTTCATACAAATTACCTGCTTCCAGAAGGTGGAGTTTTCAGGTGGTCATCTAATGTCTTAACAAATCATTACAGAAACCAGAAAAGACCAATATTATGGCTCTTAGAACTGATGGATGCAGTATAGCTTACTTCTTACCACAGCGCAAGCATGGTGCCATAACATCACGCAAATTTCCCTTCCATGGCTAATCTGTGATTTGGCATTTACTTGCCCCTTAGAAAGCACTTAAGCACTTAAGCATCAGAGAAAGCAGGAGCAACAGTACGTAAACAAAGCACTGAACCTGCAAGAATTACAGTAAGAAATACTGCTTGGACACATAAAATCATCATGACTGCAGTTTTTATAACCACCAGACACTTACACAGT